CCACCCCCCACCCCACCCCCCTCCTCAGGGGAGGGGAGAGGGGGGCACGCGCTCCGTTATACAAAATTGAGTCTCCTTGGCCTAAGGATGCTCCAGACCAAATTTAGTCAAAATCTACTTGGCTGTTCAGGACTAGTAGCGTTTTAAAGGAAAAGTTGACGGACGGACGGACGACGGACGCTGTGGTATGGCATAAGCTCAACATGGTCCGAGGTAAAAACTTAACTTATACATGTTTATCATAGCGTAACCGAATGTTACATAACTGAAATGAACGTGACAGTGATAGGTCAGCCAAGGAAACACTTGTGGTAATGTGAAGGTCGGTGAACGATAACAGCGGGTTATACTGGAGAGCTACTTTGGACCTGCTGTTAATACTTTCAAGTGTGTATAGTTCAATGGCGGAATCTGAGGTACAGCGATACAAAGGCAAAGTGACAATTGTCACTGGAGGGTCCAAAGGCATCGGGAAGGGCTGTGTCGAGGTGTTTGGTAAGTACGTGGCCAGGTCCTAAGTTCGATGTCTCTCAGAGGTAAAATCCAGGTCGTACTCGTAGGCCTACAGTGTGCGGGTAGCGCCAAGCGCAGAAAATGCATCAGGGACGTTAGATTTACTCCCCAGCCTAGATATACATTACGGTGTGGGAGTCAGATGGACTCTCAAATCCATAATCTATACCTGATAATGCAGACGACGCTTTGCACTCATCGGTAAGTAGAGTAAAGTACGTAGCTCATACTTCTTTGTCCGGGTTCTCACGTTTACATCGCACTACATCGCTCGGATTGTGACTTGAACATGAAATAATACATATAAATGGATTGTACATATGTGGAAGCCCATAATACTAATTAAATCATTTAAGTTGAACGGTCTGACATTGTTTATTTCCTTGTTGATACTTGAGGAAACAGTCCCTCACCGACACCTGGTTTGTTTTATCAAAATTATATATTAGTATCTAGGATGGTACCGCATGTGGAGTCTCTGGTAAAATAACCACACGCAATAGCCAAAGGGGACAAACATGCATTGCACCATACATGCTTAACGCGTTATATATATACATAGATATATGTGTACCGTAACTCAATGATGAATAGACTAGGGGTCATCTGATCCCTATCAGCTATTATATCAAAGCAACATAGTACAAGCGTACGCCAGGCAGTACACAACACGATAAGCGTGTCGTCGCTCCAGATCCACTCCGATACTCCGACTGGAACTTAGAGTTGGTTGGTTGACGGGGTTTTCGCCTACATGATTCCACCCATGCGGGTTTCATCTCACTGACGGAAGTCGGTGTTCTGTCGGCGTGAGGCCTTCCCTCAGAGTCATACGTCTCTGCTTCCCCCAGGGGGTGAGGAGGAGTCGCCTATACTATGTCCTATCCTTATATTTTGATGAAATTTTGGGAGACGACTCCTTGGTCCGAAATGGTTGGTGGGTGTGTCGCGCCAGTCGCTGCAACTTTGTCTGTTGCTCCTTACTAGTGTTTTTAGGGCAAGTGAGCTTATGCCATGGCGCCTTAGGCCAAGGGGACTCAATTTTGTATAAATGATGGGTCTGGCCCCCCTGGGGGCTGAGGGGCGGGGCACAATAGGGGAAATATAGGTAAAACCTTTATAATCCTTCTTCTACCATAGGGATTAAGGGATTTTATCCTAATTTAGTCTGGAGCATCCTTAGGCAAAAGGGACTCAATTTTGTATAAGCATGCAGTGGGTGTGGTCTCCCAGGGGGCAGAAGGGCGGGGCCCAATAGGAGAAATAGAGGTAAAACCTTTAAAATCCTTCTTCGACCATCAGGATTATGGGATTTTATCCTTATTTAGTCTGGAGCATCCTTGGGTCAAGGGGACTCAATTTTGTATAATTGGTGGGTATGACCCCCTAAGTTGCATATAGGGGTGGGGCTCTGTTTGAAGTTTGTTCTCGCTATATCTCAAGTACTGGATGGATCTTTCTGAAATTTCATATGTACTTACAGCACCTACTTCATACCAATTATTTTAAACATATTCAGGTGAGCGATACAGGCCCTCTGGGCCTCTTGTTGTATCGTTGGAGGGAGGTCAAAAAACGGCCAAGAGGGCTTATAATAATGTATATAAAAAATAAAAAGGTATTTGTATATTTTAAAGGTGTAATTATTGTATATATTCATGTTCTTATAGGGAAGTATGTATATTATGTTTGTTATGTACCCCGGGTCTCAAACAACTGGTTTTGCCCGACAGTAGAGAAACGTCTCTGCTTCCATTAGGTACAGTTCTTTGTTTCTTTGTCAGGCTTGGCCGGAGTCTGAGATTATCCGTTAATTATCTATTAATAATAGATGTAACAAGTTTTCCTAAACATCGAACGAGGGTAATGCCTCTGTAATTATTAACATCGTTAGTATCACACTGGCACAATATTACCTTTAACCAAGTTTCTAGAAAATGACCAGATTTAAGTATATTATTGAATAAAATAACAAAACAGTGCATTAAAACCGTCTTACACTTAATCAACTATTGATTTAAAATGCTGTCCGGGCCACATGCCTTATTTGTACTTTATTTCTTTATTGTGTACTGTATCTCTTCTTCTGTTATATCTACATCTAATTCATCAAAAGTTACAGTAGAAAATCATTTACGTCAACATTATTTATAGGTTCACTTGTAGGTCATTTTTGAAAGCGTTGAGGGAAATCAAATTCACTCAAATCACTTTTCTTATTTTTCTTATTTTTTAGCTAGGCGTTAGCCGCCAGCTATTGGTATTACTTTAGGTAATGAGCTCAGATATTCATAAACGAGACATAACGTCACCTTCTAGTAATACTAAACAAACTGCAAATAAAATCCATTACCACGGACTCAAGTTCCCTCACACGTCATTGGATATCATGTTATTATTAGTTAGAACTAAGTATCCTTCTAAAACTTCGTATTTACTGTTGGAACTGTCGCTGGATTAACCCTTTACACGGAAATATTGTCCTGTGATTGGCTAAAATTGGTGACTTTTCCGTCCCTGTTTACAATTATATATTGCGTGGTCAGAGCTATGAAGCAGTCCTGTTCCAACTAACTGAGGAAAATCAAAAGTGCTAATCAGTAATAATATATCTGATTCACGCTTCACATGATTATAATGTTATCAAAATATTGCATATTCATTCATCGTTGAAATAACAAATCCTTACTAAAAAGTCTAAAAAAAAGAAACGACGGCCATGTTAGATCACGCGTGATGTTATCCGTTTCCTTATATGGCCTTCACGGCCAAATATAGTATTACTACTGATGCGGTCATGTTTACTACAATTTCCATATTTGGTCATGACACCCATATTTAGACGTCTGACCTATATCGGAAAGATTGACGAAGTTTCCAACATGGCTGTCAATTAGGATTTCGCTTGCACTTGTTACGTGAACTTGATAATTTAACGAAATATAAGGCGGAGTATAACTTACAATTATGTAGGAGATCAAAATAAAAAGTTCATATTACAAACCTGTTAATGGATACGGATCCTGTCAATTAATTCTAAAATCGCCTCCGTGTGATTCACCCCAGGCTTGCCTGACTAAAATGGGATCAACCGGCCGGGGCAGATGAGACCGGGAATCATGTTTGTACTAGCCACTGTCCTTCTCTAGTTCCATATTGGTATTCTAACCTGAAGGCTTTTTTTTACCTTCGCAGTATTATCATTTTGTTCTATTTTCATCATAAGATATGCTTTTGCATTTTTATATCGCCTTCTCGCTAATTACAGCTCAGCCAGAAACGCGCCGATAGGCCTACATTTTATATGTCTGTTGGTGTGATTTGTGTTTTTCGTTTATTGAAGTATTACCATATAACAGGACTCTTTTATTTCAATATACACAAAAACAACAACACCTTCGGAATGATTGAAACTTGAATAGTATATCTATAGACATATGATATAATGCTCGCATATTATCTTAATAAAATCCTGGTCATTAAGTCAACCATCACTAGCTGTGTATAACAGTTCAGGAGAACCTTATTTAGTAACGGTACTGGTACCTTTATATATGAGTACAATTTTTGTAATTCAAATGTAAATCTTACCGAAAATAAACAATGTAAACAGTTTAATGACGTATTACCTCAAAATGTCGTTTCAACTCCAAATTTCACCGATTTGTACACTAATGACCAGTCGTAAACTGAGATATAGACCATTGTCTTAGTTAATTTATAGCTTTCCCACTCCTGGTAAATTTAACACGTTATTTATCCTGCCTGGATCACAGGTACTAGCCTGGTCTGCCAATACATCCAAAATATCATAATCTGGAAGTATTGACATTGAAATGAGGCTAGTACCACAAGTACCTGTACTAGTTTGGCATCCTCGAAACTCCAGGGGATAAGATGGAGAAGTCGTGCAGCAATGTTTTCACAGAATTAAAAGTGGCAATAAAAAACACTGTGAAGTGTTATTGACTTGTAGCACAAATATATTATCGTTTAGATGTGCCTTCTTTAAAGTTGATAGAAAAAATACGTTCAAATCTAGAGTTATAAATTCCAGTTCTAGAGACAGAAATAACAAATCTACGAGATACGTTGAGCAGACGACATCATGAGTGAATATAGAGAAAGACGGTGCGAAACGACGTGAAATTTTAAAAGGAAATTAGTCACTTAACCCCAAATTGCAAAAAAAACTATAAAAAAAACCTTCGATATTGAAAAGAAAAGAACACGAGAAACACGTATTATTAATCACTTTTACCGTCTATCATCGATCTCTGAAAATTTTAGTATACAAAATGAATATGAGGTCTGCTATGATTAGGTATTACATATACTTGGCGTTAGAGACATCCGGTATGGGAAGCACTATTTAAACCTTTAAAATGTAAAGATCTGCCAACATCTCACTCTTCGATTTTTCACATAAAAATAGTCAGTCATATACTTTATTTCACATCAAAATATTTTGTTGTGATAACTGTATGAGTGACTGGGCTAAAATAACTCCAATACTGTATTACACCGTCCCTTTCCCTAAAAACTGCTGAAAGTGTCGTGCTAACAAGTCACAAAACGCATGTGTTCCGATTACATGTACTATGTCAAGCTGACAATACAGGAGTCCTGGTTAGCTTACATAAATATAACGCGATTTGTCTAACGAACTCCATGTAAAAAAATCATTTAATGTATAAAGCTTAATAGTAAGGCTTAAAACTTGAGATTCAAATAATGTGTTACATTGTATATAATCAAGGGCCTCGGTTAATATTCTGATGTGCTAAAGTTACCAATATGGAAATAATAGCTAGGAAGATTTAACGTGTTTTCAATTCCATTCTTTGTTTTATTTCAGTAAAACATGGATCCAAGGTTGTTTTTTGTGCAAGGGGAGGTAAGCAATATTCAACTAAAGTTTGACATTTTGAGGACAGAAGATACATTCCCCCCAACCAGAGGCGCAAGGTTATTAAAGGAAGAACCCTTATCTCACCTGATTCTTACACCCCCTCCCCAGTACCTCCAATATATAAGGGAATTATAGATATATTAAGATATGAATAAAATAATACAAATATTTTGTCTCTTATTTTTTCGCTTTACCTGCTGAATCATCATATATCGATGCCTCTACTTTGCTCCAATGTTTAGTTTGTGCCTTATTATAGAGAAAGAAGGCAAAGAACTGGAGGCCGAAATGAACAAGAGAGGTCCTGGAGAAACAATGTTCCTCACCTGTGATGTTTCCAAGGAAGCTGATATAAAGGTAATTATAATAATCATTTGTCGGTTTCAAATAAACCTTTTGTGTAAACATTTGTCAGTTACAAATACACAAATAGTGTTAACTGTAACTTTAATCATGAAATATTCTAAAGATGCCATTATGTTTCAATACAAAAAAGAATTGTACATTTTTAAACTGAAAACCTCTTTACAAGAACATTGGCAATTTTGTTGCCATGTAACAGTAATTCATCTGTAAATAATGTAAACCCTTTAGTTAACTTAACTTTAGTGTAAAGGAAAGTCAATTATAAACGTATAACTGTACGAAATAGTTTTCAGTTTTTCATAAATCATCGATGGTGGGTGAGATTTGAAACCTATAATTATTGAAAATGTGCGATATAATTTTAAAAAAATGGGGAAATATTAAAAACAATTGAGGCAATCATCAACCCTGAACAGAATACGTGTTTAAGTGCGGTATTATAACACTTTAAAGCACTTTAACATATTTTATTCTGACTAAAGGAATGCTTACATTTCCTCTGCTGTCAGGTCTTTTATATGAATAAAACGATATAAATGATAATGACATGTGATTTATGAGTATTAAGTCCATTGCCGATGATGTCACAGCTCTGTTAGAAATACACTGTACGTGTAAACATGTTGCAACATGCTGGTACACAAACCACCTCTAACTTTGCTGCCTTTGATGTTACCCCTCCCCAATATATATATATAACAGTCAAGGAACATCAGGTGGGGGACAGTGCCTTACTGGAAAGCTAGTTTGCCAGTGATTCGGTATAACCCTAGGACGCGCTTACTATTATAGTCACGTCGAACGTGGTCAGTGGTTGGATGGGTGCCTTCTCGCTCGTTTAGTTGTATGGATAAACTGTTTAACCAGCCAATGCATCCTTCTGGCTTGAGTTGTTACATCGATCTTCAAAATGTAATTTTGAAATTGTGTTATGCACCCACCATCCAGTTGTATGTGTATGATGGAAATGATCGTTTGCTCCAAAGACAATTGTCGATCGTTGTACATAAACCTGTTTATGAAATGAAGCAATCGATTATACTTGTACATATTGTATACGGCATTGTTATGTTTACACCCGGTCTGATAATTCATCTTGAGTAGCTAGCACAGTGCTCTCAAACCTGACTTCAAAGTTTCACTTTCGATACCGTGAAAAATATTAAGTGATCTTAATAGTTAGCTCATCATCGTTTCTATCTAACAGTAATACGACCCAAGGCACAGTGAACATGGTCATTAGTGATAATAATGTCAAATAAGTTTGTCGTGATGTATTCATTGTTTGATAAAGTTATCACCCCATGACCGAAACAGTCTGGAAACTACATCGAATGAGAATGTGTCACCATCTGGAATCTCACACTAAAAGTTAGAAATGGCCAAGAGGAGGGTAACACTATTTCTTCACTAAAATCATTTTTTTGTTAGGACAGATGATGGGACAAATAGTGTGTCAGTTATCATAGTATGTTGCATTGGTAAATGTCAATTGTGACGCATGACACTTCATAGTTTCAAAATCATAGGCCCCAAAAATCATGCCCACATTACGCAGGGAATCAAGTACACTGATGACCATTACCTAAGTGCAGTTTGCTTCCGACCTAGTTAAGAAAAACCCTCCGGTTGCAAGGAGAGCCATCCGAAAGTAATTCTGAGGAAGAGCAGTCAGTCACCATGGGACCCAACCATTAGTAATTCTGAGGAAGAGCAGTCAGTCACCAAGGAAGCCATCCGATAGTAATTCTGAGGAAGAGCAGTCAGTCACCATGGGCCCCAACCATAAGTAATTCTGAGGAAGAGCAGTCAGTCAATATGGGACCCAACCATAAGTAATTCTGAGGAAGAACCCTCAGTCACCATGGGACCCAACCATAAGTAATTCTGTGGAAGAACACTCAGTCACCATGGGACCCAACCATAAGTAATTCTGAGGAAGACCACTCAGTCACCATGGGACCCAACCATAAGTAATTCTGAGGGAGAGCAGTCAGTCACCATGGGACCCAACCATAAGAAATTCTGAGGAAGAGCAGTCAGTCAATATGGGACCCAACCATAAGTAATTCTGAGGAAGGGCAGTCAGTCGCCATGGGACCCAACCATAAGTAATTCTGAGGAAGACCACTCAGTCACCATGGGACCCAACCATAAGTAATTCTGAGGAAGAACACTCAGTCACCATGGGTCCCAACCATAAGTAATTCTGAGGAAGAACACTCAGTCCCCATGGGACCCAACCATAAGTAATTCTGAGGAAGAGCAGTCAGTCAATATGGGACCCAACCATAAGTAATTCTGAGGAAGAGCAGTCAGTCAATATGGGCCCCAACCATAAGTAATTCTGAGGAAGAGCAGTCAGTCAATATGGGACCCAACCATAAGTAATTCTGAGGAAGAACCCTCAGTCACCATGGGACCCAACCATAAGTAATTCTGTGGAAGAACACTCAGTCACCATGGGACCCAACCATAAGTAATTCTGAGGGAGAGCAGTCAGTCACCATGGGACCCAACCATAAGTAGTTCTGAGGAAGAGCAGTCAGTCACCATGGGACCCAACCATAAGTAATTCTGAGGAAGAGCAGTCAGTCAATATGGGACCCAACCATAAGTAATTCTGAGGAAGAGCAGTCAGTCACCATGGGACCCAACCATAAGTAATTCTGAGGAAGAGCATTCAGTCACTATCGAAGCCGTACGATGGTAATTATAAACAAGAACACTTCGTCACTATTGAAGCCATTCGAGAGTAATTCTGAGGAACATCAATCAGTCACCATGGAAGCCATACGATGGTTATTCTACAGAAGAACACTTAGTTACTATTGAAGCCGTACTAAAGTTATTCTGAGGAAGATCATCAGTCAGGATCCATCCTTTGACGTTACTAACAGCCTCATACCTCCTTGCATCATTATTGATAATGATGTTATAGATAATATGATTACATACGTTGAATCCCCTAAACCGCGCGTGTTATTGATATGTTACCATAATGCATTGACCCTGATTCTGTCATGTGTTCAAGAATCAAGTCTCAACTCAATACTTATTTTGTGAGTTGAATGAGGTATTCTTCCCTCAGTTTTTGGAATAAGAAGGTGCAATAGGTCCTCCTTAATCAAGGTCAAAATAGACCCAGTTCAATACCCTTACGTTTCATGAATGATTTTAGTTTAGACGTCAGTAACATATCGCCGTAGATTTCGAGCAATTACGGTGCTTGAAATTAGCCTGAAATATGATAGCATTTTGTAAAGGCATGCTCTACGGACTTGTCTCTGTCAGTTTTGCGCAGGACCTCGTAGACACCGGTATGTTACTTCATGGGTGTATAACAATTAAAGTATAATTTGATTTGAAACTAACCAGTACTCCTATTTTGTAAATTCATAATTTAGGACTGTTAACGCTCCTGTCCCCCTGCTTAATTAAACAGTAGCTATTTGGATTTCCAACTATTTGGTCCCTAGCACCACCGATGAGTCCTAGAAGGACGTAACAGCTGTGTGATGTAGTGTAATTCAGTTTTGGCATATTGTATCTATTACTAAATGTTTAAGGTGTAATCACATGTTTGTTAGGATGTTCCAGTGTTTTACTTGTGGTTTACTTTTGTTTGACAGAATGTGGTGGCCAAAACAGTGGAGAAGTACGGAAGGATCGATTGTCTCATCAACAATGCAGGGCAACGTAGGTCTAACATACCCACACACACGCGCGCACCCACGCAAATAGTAGGGGTAACATACACACTACACACACACACGCTCACGATCACGCAAAATGTAGGTGTAGCAGATACACACTCAGACGCTCACATCCACGCAAAATGTAGATGAAACATACACACTCACACGCTCACGATCACGCAAAATGTAGGTGTAGCAGATACACACTCACACGCTCACATCCACGCAAAATGTAGATGTAACATACACACTCACACGCTCACATCCACACAAAATGTAGATGTAACATACACACTCACACGCTCACGATCACGCAAACTGAAGGTGTAGCAGATACACACTCACACGCTCACATCCACGCAAACTGAAGGTGTAACATACACACTAACATGCTCACGATCACGCAAAATGTAGGTGTAGCATATACACATTCATGCAAAATGTAGATGTAACATATACACACTCATGCGCGCATTCACGCAAAATGTAGATGAAACATAAACACACTCATGCGCGCATTCACGCAAATTGTAGATGTAACATATACACACTTATGTGCGCATTCACGCAAAATGTAGATGTAACATATACACACTCATGCGCTCATTCACGCAAAATGTAGATGTAAAATATACACACTCATGCGCGCATTCACGCAAATTGTAGATGTAACATATACACACTCATGTGAGCATTCACGCAAAATGTAGATGTAACATATACACACTCATGCGCGCATTCACGCAAAATGAAGATGTAACACATACACACTCATGCGCGCATTCACGCAAAATGTAGATGTAACATATACACACTCATGCGCTCATTCACGCAAAATGAAGATGTAACATATACACACTCATGCGCGCATTCACGCAAAATGTAGATGTAACATATACACACTCATGCGCGCATTCACACAAAATGTAGGTATAACGCAGAGAACAAACAACGCAGTACAAATAGGTATGGCACACTTCCGCGCATATGTTAACCAATGTAGGCAAACACAAAACCGAACCGTGAAATATATATCTGACACCAACGAATCAACACCGTGCACTTTGTCTGACATGAAAACAACATTTGGCAATGTATGTGTTACATGTAAATAACACCGCGCAATGTGTGTGTGTGACATGAAAACAACAGCGGGCAATGTATGTGCTACATGTAAACAACACCGGGCAATGTGTGTCTGACATGTCGATTCATAGAAATATCCATTGATGATCCTCTGTGTCATGTTTCTCCTGTAAAATGCAGTTCCATTGATGATCCTCTATGTCATGTTTGTTTCTACTACAGATCCCCACACACCTCCATTGATGATCCTCTATGTTATGTTTGTTTCTACTACAGATCCCCTCCACCTCCATTGATGATCCTCTATGTCATGTTTGTTTCTACTAAAGATCCCCTCACACCTCCATTGATGATCCTCTATGTCATGTTTGTTTCTACTACAGATCCCACACAAACCTCAATTGATGATCCTCTATGTCATGTTTGTTTCTACTAAAGATCCCCTCACACCTCAATTGATGATCCTCTATGTTATGTTTGTTTCTACTACAGATCCCCTCCACCTCCATTGATGATCCTCTATGTCATGTTTGTTTCTACTAAAGATCCCCCCACACCTCCATTGATGATCCTGTATGTCATGTTTGTTTCTACTACAGATCCCCTCACACCTCCATTGATGATCCTGTATGTCATGTTTGTTTCTACTACAGATCCCCCACACACTTCCATTGATGATCCTCTATGTCATGTTTGTTTCTACTACAGATTCCCCACACACTTTCATTGATGATTCTTTATGTCATGTTTGTTTCTACTACAGATCCCCCCCACACCTCCATTGATGATCCTTTATGTCATGTTTGTTTCTACTACAGATCCCCCTCACACCTCCATTGATGATCTTTTATGTCATGTTTGTTTCTACTACAGATCCCCCACACACCGCCATTGATGATCCTCTATGTCATGTTTGTTTCTACTACAGATCCCTCTCACACCTCCATTGATGATCCTTTATGTCATGTTTGTTTCTACTACAGATCCCCCACACACCTCCATTGATGATCCTCTTTGTCATGTTTGTTTCTACTACAGATCCCCCACACACCGCCATTGATGATCCTCTATGTCATGTTTGTTTCTACTGCAGATCCCCCTCACACCTCCATTGATGATATATCAGCGGATGATTTCCGCCGCCTACTAGATGTGAATATTGTCAGCATTTTCCTGTTCTCCAAGGTAACTACAACTTCATATCTTCTATACCACGTGATTGTGATGGAAATAGCTATTTTTAATAGTTATTGAACATTAAGTTATCGGCCAGGTATTATTTTAAATATATATTCCAACAACAACAAATAAGTTTTTGCCCAACGTGATTCATTGTCCATGCAAATTTGTTTACTCAAAATGTTACATTAAATATGACAATTAATCCGTTTGTACGTCAACAATTACTTCGACTTATATATGTTCTCCTGTCGTAAACCACTAGACCAACAGAGGTTTGTCTGCACACTCGTTGCTACCCTATGTGATGTTTATGGTATGCATTGTATGGTTCTCAGTTTGCGTTGCCACATCTGAGGAAAACCAAGGGCAACATCATCAACGCATCAAGTCTAGTTGGTCAGATAGGTCAGCCAGGGGCCACAACCTACGTCTCTACAAAGGTCAGTTGTTACGCAAATTCAACTTACGTTAATCACCTACTGTTGGTATATGTATCAAAGGTTAGTATATTGATACAAAGATATGATACATGGTATCAATTAAGATTCGTGGCCTTTATCAAAAGATTTCGATTTCATATCGTACCATGACCTACATTTTAATATGTGTATACAAAGTTCACTAATATTTCTCACCAAAGACTTTGGCGTTTATCTATGCAGTACAAAGATTAGAATTATGTCAACAGGTCGTGATCTATATCTACAATGCTTTGGTAGTCAGGATATAATGTGCTAAATTGTTAACGTATGCCGAACTATTATTTTATTTGCAATTGACAACGAAAGAGGATCTACAAATATACATTTATTTACAATATACAATATCTATAGAAGCATACTCTTTCACACTCACTTATAACTCTCATACAATTCTACATTGGAAATATATAAATTATTATGATTTAATTACATCTATAAATAGATAAATATATAATGTCTTCGGTATATATAGCCCGATGCCCGAGGAATGTGATGATGAAATAATCGTTACCTTAAATTGAAAGAGAACAATACTCCAACTTTACATACGAGACTTCTCTTTTTATAGATCTAACATTATCATTGTGTGTTTGATGACGTGTTTGGAACGGGATATAAAGCACCATTTGGTGCAGAAAGTCTTTTCTTCTCGGTTTTTCTTGTTAGCTTGTTCATTTCAACGTAAAATTCAGATCTTGTTCCTGTTAATGTGATTCTGTCAATCTCTTAGTTTGCAATTCATGCACGGCATATTTAGCATAGAGTTTCAAGTGGAAGATAGACTTTTCATTTGAAGGACGGTAAATCACAATTATATTGGTGAAGCACATGTTTATAAACACGTTGTGTAACCGCATGGTAATCATCAAGGAACGTCTTTCGATTCCCTCACTAGGTTCTTGCTGTAGACGATTAAAATGACGTATAATAATAATCATTATTACAGGGTGCAATCACTTCCTTCACCAAGGCACTGGCTGTTGACGAGGCCGTACACGGGGTGCGCGTGAATGTGTGAGTATACAAAAATATGATCAGTCACTTACATTTTAGTTCAATCAAATGTTTCCAATATAGTATATGTACTTACAGTACCAACTCAATATGTAGGCTCTGAGTTAGACTTGCGTTGAATGACTGTTTACTGTTTTCGTATCACAGGTTTTCTCCGGGTAACGTTTGGACCCCCATGTGGGAAAACGAAGCCAACTCGCGCCCCGATCCCGAGGCTTGCAGGCAGGCTGGGGCAGATGCACAGGTAACGCTGAGTTGACTTATTAAATACTTTTACAGACAAGAGCATACAGCTCATAAATTAAATACGTATCTGTGTCTGGTCTCATAAAAGTAAAAAGCAAGATAAATGCAACACTACCAAATTCTTTAAAAACCGTATATTTACACGATTTTCCTCAATTTTTCCCCACATGGAACACCCTCCAACCTTGTTTTTATTGTCCTCCAACCTTGTTCTCACATCTGATAGGCCATTATTTTCAACCCCTGTCCCTATCGCTCTTATTCTCCTTTAATACTTGTTTTCATTAACAATCCTTTTTTCACATCTGATTGTCGTGCTAATTGACCTGCTAATTGTCATGCTAATTGACTTGTTCTTGTAACCCTTGCTTCTAAATCATTTCTACATTGTTCTTCATATTATTTGACATTTAACTTTACTTTCATCGATCTCCAACACTGATCTTATGGCCGTATGGCTTTGCTTTTTTGTCGCTGTTTTCCCCTCCGCCAGTACCGAGGCATATAGTGTCGCTCATCACCCTGACCATATATAATGCATATGACTATAGGTTCCAACTAAATATTACGACACTTCCGCTGGTATTCCTGAAATCAACCCCTGTAGCCATTCAAATGTCGAGACCATACATTCACAGTCAATGTCACGGATTATTTCCATTATGAAGGAAAATTAGACAAATGGTTTTTTTCACAGCTAGGCTAAAGATTATTTACATTGTGATGAAAAAAAAAAGATTTGTCCACACATTCCTGACTTTCAGCGGATTTCATAAAACTCACTCCATGTTTCTTAACACCATAGCGCCTCCCCTTGGTTGTACATGCATACTCAACTTCCACCACAGACACACTCAAAAAATGTGATATGTACACCACACCAACATGCTATCATAATGATGTCGACGGGCGTATTATGTAACGTTTGTGGTATCCATGTTTCTTTTGACCTTCACCCTTGTGTTACAGCTGGTGGGACGATATGGTACACTGGAGGAGAGTGGCCTTCTATGTCTCTACCTCGCAGCCGACGCCACCTTCTGTACTGGTATAGACGTGAACCTGTCAGGCGGGGCGGAGCTCGACTACGGCTACAAAAACAAAATGAAAACATCTAAGAAAGACACGTGATTTTACCAACAACGTTTATTATAATACCATTCGTTATTAAACTATATCGTAGGTCATTCAATTGGGTTAACTTATACTGTGTGAACATGCCTATACTAAATAGAGTAAATATACTTCTACTGTTTATTGTCAACATCTTGTCAAACTATATACTGTGAATATCTCTTAAAACATGCATTTACTGAACGCCGTTAAGATGTTGTCGATGTAAACTGTACTTTGTAGTGTCGATATGCCTAAAATACTGTATTCCGTCTTTTCGTATTGCAGTGTTATCTGCTCTTGTGAGCAGGTATTGATTGTTACGTCATTAGTTTGTGTGAGAAAATAACGTCGTTTTCTCAAAAAATGTTGACGTTACTCTCTCAAACAAGTAATGAACACTCAATACCTGCTATCTAGAGCAGATAACTCTGCAATACGAAAAGACGGAATACTGTAAACACGCACCATCCTTTATACTGTCAACAAAATTATACTTATCACTACAAACATATTGATGTGGTTTGCTATAACATATAGGCCTACTCAATGGAGAATAAAGGATACTAAATATGTCAAGGGAGGTTTGTTATTTTTATTTTGACTACATGTTTAGGCCCGATGTGGGTTGCTTTGAGGACAAACTAACAATGTTGCTAAGACCTGAACTAATAGATGTGTTGTAATGATTACATTGAAGTGGGTTTACATTGCTCGTTAATCATCTTCGCGAAGATGCTCGTTAATTACAATGTGACGTCACTCTAAAATTATCACTCAAGGTAGCAAATTACAACATCGTGCGTGTTTTGAAGCGGTGTCCCCAACATCGCGCGTAACTTCATTGCCATTTCGTCCAGATCTTATGTGTTCAAAAACAAATGCAGAAATACAGCGTAAAGGGAAAAGATAAGTTTAAGTTACAAATTTACAGCTTTGGATACACACACAGATACACAGATTTTATTCTGACTTAAGGAATGTTTACGTTTCCTCTGCTGTCAACTCTATTGTAAAAATAAAAGTTAGTCGATATTAATGATAATAGCATGAATAATTTTGCAATATACAACCAGATAATTAGTGCTTAAACTAATATAACCATGTAAAACACGTCAGAATGAATTGCAGCTACAAGGCTAAGGCCCACCATATATATATAAACTATGAAACAACAATTATGAAACAAGTTATTTCAACTTATATCAATCACTCTGTTTGGCCAAAGGTTAGCGCGCGGGTGGGGGTCTAACTGTGTGAAGAAACCAGAGTACCCGGAGAAAACCCACATGGACGGGCAGGTGACTCCATACCTTTTCACGTCCGATCGGGGAATCGAACCCCGGCCGCCTTGGTGAAAAGCAAGTGCGCTATCCACTGCACCACCCGATAACCCAACTACCACCCGACTCACGACCCACCTCGGGGAGTGACAGTCAACCAGCAAAGTCAATCACCCTGTTACGTAAAGTTATCACCAGAAATACGAAAATACAAACACCTATTTAGTTTAGAGTATCAATACAGATACATGAATAGAGCGCTACATGAAATAAATTGGGAAATACTAATAAATACTCTTGACTCGAATGAGTTTAATAAATTATTAACAGATTCTATTAATAATCAAATAGAAGAATGTAAACCATCGAAAATCATAACTGTTCGCCCTAATGATAAACCTTGGATGAGGAATATTATTATAAGGCAAAAAATTAGACGGAGAAATAGATTGCATAAAAAAGCTGTAAATAACAACACTGCAACTAATTGGGAAAATTTCAGAAAGGCTAGAAATGAAGTAGTAGACCTTGTTAGAGAAGCTAAAAACACTTATTACGAAAAATTACAACAATCTCTTAGTGACCAATCTGTGCCTCCTTATAAGTGGTGGAAAATTGCTAGATCTGTAATGAATTCAAATAATGTATCAAATTGTCTTCCTCCTCTTTCTGAAAATAATAACCCAATACATCATCCATTTGAAAAAGCAGAATGTCTAAATAACTACTTCAGCTCAATATCAACTTCTTCTGAAAAACTTGACCCCCTTGCCCCACATGAAAATACTTTTCCCTTCCTTCTAGACAATATCATTATATCTGAAGAGGACATTAAAGATCAACTGTGTTTACTTAATGATAAAAAAAAACTCCTGGCCCAGATGGCATGATACCCAAGATAATAAAGAAATTAGCACCTTCTCTAATATGTCCTCTAGCTTTACTTTGTAATAAGACTATTGAATCTGGTATTATACCTCTTTCTTGGAAAACAGCCAATATTAATGCAATATACAAAGGTAAGGGTGCTCAAAATGATGTCTCTAACTATAGGCCAATATCTATTACATCATGTTTTAGCAAAATTGTTGGAAAAGTTATTTTTAAATATACGTTTAATTATATGAAAGAATGTGATATCATAACGAAACACCAATCAGGTTTCTTACCAAGAGACTCGACTGTAAACCAGTTATTATCTATATATGACACTATTGTAAATAACTTGGATCAAAATAATGAAATCATTTCATTTCATAGTTACATGAATATTCTATAGTGCTTTATTAAATAAATTTTAAGAGAATCAAATCCAATAATATATAATTATAACTACATTTTCCTATATGAATCCATATCATATTCTGAAATTTTACAAAATGTTTATTTCTTGGCAACTTATCCTATATATCCAGTGGGTGGATGGCCAATGTGTTTATACACAGGGACTTTTGGGTATCCCTTGGATTTTATGTAGGATGGGTTGTCAATAAATATACATGATTTACTTAATTGTTAATATCTAAAACATAAACAGAAAATGATTAAACAAAAGTTGTTAAATGTTCATTTCACAAGCTAAATTGGAGTTATCTCCCCTGTACCGTTTAATTGGATTGGTATTACAGAATATATGTAATGTTTGTAAATAAGTTTGGAAAGGACTTAAATAGGTCTAGCCTGATGTCCAATCCAATTGACATATATAAAGTCAATAAAATCTGATGAAATGAAATGAATACAGATAGCCAAACAAAATAAACATGTGTATGGTACTGTACATATGGCTGTTTGATCCATAAAGGGTGCATTGGTGGTTCTAAAGGTCAAAGGTCGATTTTAGAATCCATGATCTAATGTGTTCCGAAACACATGCAGTTCTAAATACAGGAAGTCGTGAAAAGTACTTTCACTTTAGCTCTTATTGTGACTGAAAATTACCACGCACTCTTTATATATGTTATCCTGAAAAATTAAAAAAAAAAAAATACCACCATGGCCTTAATCTTTTATTGATCACAAACAGATATACATTACATAATTATACACAATACAATGTTATAGAACAAAAACATAAAAAAATATCTATCAAAACAAAACAATCATCACAGATGCAGGAGAAAATTTCAAAGAAAGGAATAAAAAGACCCATTAAAAGTATTTAAGTGTATGCAATTGTCTTAATTTTAACCACTGAGCCACCGCGGCCCCGATCATTATTTGGGACCAATCCGTAACCAAAATGCATAACTTTTTGTTACCAATCCATAACATTTTCCGTCAAAATTGCATGAAAATGAAAACCAATCCGTAACGTAAACAAAATGGTTTTCCTTCATTATTCTAATTAACCTAGGGTTGTAAGCATAAACATCATATTACGTAAAAGCGGATGTTAAACGAGATTGTCTCTGTCAATAAAGATAAACATGAGACTGTTTAAGTAATTCAATATGAGCAAAAACTCACGGCGAACCACGCTTCGATACCGAGTTTAACAGTTTGCCAAACTTTGTGAAGGATTCACAGTTCTTTAATCAGCTGCAAACAAATCCTGTAATATAAATTTCGAGTATTTTTTAGTTAGACTTGTTACTTGTCTCGGTTAGAGTATACTTATGAATAAGTGATATTGTAGCTTAAAGTGACAACCTACCTTCTGTGACGATCTCGGTCCGCCATCTTGAAAAGACCAATCTGTAACAGGTACACGACAGTGTTAATGTACGAATTCGGTTTGCCTGACCTCCTGAAAGAAAGATCCATTCAGAACGGCACGTGACGAAGCCAAAGCCTTGACCTTATGCACACTTACCTTACAAACTGGCTGAATCTGATCGTTAGAACTATCACAGGCAACTTGATAACCTGACAGGAACACCTGTAAACAGACCGAGACTGTTTGATGGGCAAAATTTGTTGATATCGAGAACACACCCACACACCCACACACACACCCACACACACATATCAACTACATACAAAGCACATATCTGCTCTTCAAGGCCCACAAATGAAGCAAGAAATTGAATCTTAAAGGGTTCGGACAACCCAGGAACCTAGTTCTTAGCCATACATGTTGGATAAGTTGCAGTTTGCAGTATAATTCCTTGATCAACAAATACAGGAGGGATAAGAAGATAAAAGTACGAATCTCACTCCGTCTACGTTCTAAAACCAAAATAAGGAGGGAAACCATCTTAATGGTGAAACACTTCAAGGAGGAAGACCACATAAGCTCATAGAGTCCCTGGATCTACGATCTAAGCACTAGAGCCAGGTTCTACTTGGAACAAGATTACTAACCAAAGGGATGTCCAAGCCAAAACCCCTAATCAAGCCAGAAAGAAAAGAGGCTATGCCCACATTATGTCTCACAGTATGTCTCCTAAAACACTGGCTATTGCAGTGCGATAGCCAACAATAGTACCAGGAGTAAAGTCATGTAACAAGCACAACAGGAAGCCGGGGATCATATGGACAACTGCTTGTCCGAATCAATTTACCTATCGACACATCAATAATAAATAATAATATACAACATTTATATAGCGCCCTATATAATTTGTAAAATTTCTCTAATGCGCTTTACAACATATGGATAATAGTAATGGTTATAATTGTGAAAACAAACAACAAAGGCTTGCAATCACTTTCATACATTTAACAAGCAATGAGCACATAATTGAACAAATAAAAGGGGGGTATTTACATGACGTCTTTGCAAAGATTCTAAAATGCAGACGTGAAGAGGTGAGTTTTTATGTCCCTCTTAAACTTGGCCAGGGTATTTGACTTCCTTATAGCAGATGGTAAGCTATTCCACAACGTAGCCGAAACCCTACCGAAGCAGCTGTTTCCGTAGGTCACAGTTCGAGATTTTGGGACACACAACAAAGCTTCTGACTCCGACCGCAGTGATCTTGACGGCTGATACAGGGTAACAAGCTCTTGTAGATACTGAAGAGCTATTCCATTCAGTGCCTTGTAAGTGTACACCATAATTTTGTACTGCGACCTGTATCGTACATGTAACCAGTGCAACGAATAAAGCGCAGACACATGCCCATGGTGATTTGTAGAGAACATACCAGGAATACCTGATCGACCTGAAAAGCCTGTCTGAGTAAGGCTTCCCGAGATAGCCTTTCACGCGGGAGGGTGGAGGCTTTCTGGGCGTGAGTGCATCGTCTTGAACCGAGGCTGCCAAATGAAATTCCATCTCGGTGCCTGGGCCATTGGCTACACCACCAGAGAATACGACAGCACTGTAAACCAAGGCTGCCTTAGCTACAGAGGTGCAACCAGAAGGAGGGAGCAAGAATACTCCTAAAACTTCTGAAGGACCTGCCTACTTTGTTGAACGCATAGAATGCATACTGAGCATGTACTACCCGTGCCTTCAGATGTGGGACCGGATAGACAAGGGTTGGCAGTGACGAACAATCATATGTGAGGCCTGTCCCACATCTGACAAATCCCCCTGGGAATCCGCAGGATTCAGCTGCCATAACTAGCAAGCATGTATTCGTATATTAAAAGACATTAAAAAAACTGCAAACATCTGTCGGGTCTCGTATTGAAGAGAAGACGACTTTCTGAATCAAATAGGTAATGCTGAGTCAGTGTGTTGTTTTCTACATACCTTTTCATTGTTATGTTCAAAAAACTTATTTGTTTTGCAGGTTTATGATTGTCTGATTGTTGGGGATTCAATGTCCTCGTAGCAGTCAGGGTTATACGGAGACATTGTTCATTGGGAGGCACGTTCGAAAAGAAAAATTCGAGAAATGAGAAAAGAACAGAGGTAGATCTTAAGTCTCTTAGCAGAAGACCCTCGGTTCTGCGGGAAGGAAGGGACACATTAGTCACATCTTTTACCATGTAATGGGTTAGTTTCCCGAGCCGCAGCTATCTTTTATAACTTTTAGTATTTACTCTTCATATTATTTGACTATGAAGATTTACTTTACATTGATTTCAACTATGATAGAGATAAAATTAAAAATGTGCTGACTCAGCAAACGTGTCACCCAGTATGTTTGTGTGTATCATACTGATCATACTGGTTTAAAGAAATACAAAGGGTATGTTGAAAGTTTAATTCCACCTGTCAAAGGAAGGTTGATATGCAGTGAGTCCGAAATGACTACCTTTTTATTTAATTTATTTTTTCCTATCCGCCCCATCAAAAATGTTGTGACAATGTATATAAATCAGCCTAGTCTGGCTAGATAAAAGTGAACTCCCTATAAAAGTATATATCTACCAAACCGTTGGTGCATTTAATTAATTAAGTTGATTACAAGAACCAATACATGCGTGGAAGCCAGTTGGCATACAGCCGTGGTATAATCGCTTTACCTTCAAGGGGAATAACTCTTATAGACTTACGACTTTATCTTCCATAATAAAACACCAACACTTGGTCGATATTGAAATCTAGGGAGAGAGATGTTAGGCGTGGAAAGGAGAAGGTGGGTGTGAAGAAACAAAACAATGAACAACCAGTGTAGTGAGGTGCCAGGTAGGCAAGTTTGAGAGAACGAAATAAACCGTTCAAAGTATTTGATGTAACCATACGAGGCTGTGAGGTTTGATTGACCAAACTCTTAAAAAATATTGAGTCTACTTTGAAAATTATATTTAAATAAAGCGAGACGGGGAAGTATGTGCTTCAAATGGTCAAAGGTCTAATACTTTTCAACTTTGGTCGTTTGATATTGGCATGAGTGTGAATATCTGTGTCATGTAAAACAGAAAAGGGACTCAAGACCTCATTAAGAACGTTCTTAAAGTGTGTATTAATAAAACAACAATAAAATGCTGATCTAAATTGCGAGATTTGTTTACAGTAGAACAATGCTATGTTGTCAATCAAATAAAAATGTAAGTAAATACAAGTGTTTCATTCTGACAGCAGCTTAATATACCATGCCAAACTGTATCGAATTATTTCAATATATGACAGAAGATAAAGGGCTGTCTACTTTGTACATTTGATTTTATACTACATTATGATCTACATCGAGAGGTCTTTATACGAGTTCCCACGATTTCTAACAACCCAAACACTGCTTACGTACGCATCAAATACACTGCTTTAATATTGATCGAACCATGTTTTTTTTAATACATTCAAAATCTGTAACTTTATGTTTTCGCGATATTTTTCTAATGTTCCATTGAATTCAAAAGGACCCCAAGATAATTAAATTTGCCTACGGTTTCCAGTTTACAACCTTTATAATACCAAATCTTAATGTTATTTAGTGTATCCAAATTGTTGCCAACTAACCAATATATACACGTAGTGAAAACGGGAATGTTCCCTTGAAATAATTAGTTAATGAACAATTTTGTAGTATACACAGATTGATAAATCGTACTCATTTTACCGCCGATTTTTCGTTTTCATTTGTTTTAAATTACCAATAATTACATGGGCGGATCGGAGGGGTGAGGATTCCGGGGGGTACGGTCACCCTCCTGCCTTTTTGCCACTGAATAATTTTTTTGTCAATCTTAAACATCAACATTTTAACTGGATTTTTTTTGTGTTTTTTACAACAAAAGAGAAGGTTTTTTAAGTATTCTTAAAACACAGTAACTAATTTTAAAAAAAAACCCACAAAGCTTCTAAATTTATAAAATCGGATTAAATTATGATGCTAATTTACACCTGACAGACGTTTACTTTTACTATTTTCTCGGTCGGGATGTAGGAGTGGAGGATGCTACCGGAACTAGAAGGGCTCCGAGCCATCAATCTCGCAGGAAATTTGGACACTCTACCTTTTTGGTGGAAATGCTGATAAATATCTTTACTATCCTACCAGCAAAGTAAAATACACAATTTAATGTTAAAGTACCATTCTAAACATTAATTTATAACCATGTGCCAATTTGTGCAACGTGAGGGTTGCTTAAATCAGAGACGTATATAACGTATGTATTATACGTCTCTGCTAAAATGGAACTTTTCTTAAAAAAAACTATCAATATTCCTGGAGTACCAGTGTATCCAAAATGGAAAAATTCAGGATATTATTTAATTTTTGAAAATGATTAATAACGTTTAAAACAAAATTCCACATTTCAAGAAAGATTTGACATTTTCTGATAAAATTAAGTTTTTTTTTTTCTTTCAAATCTTCATTTGAACAAATATTATTCTTGTTGAGAAATGTGATACCACGGAATTAGAATCTAAGTCCGTGGTGATACTAAATTGATTTTTTTTTTCAGTTTTTGTGAATTTTTCAATTTAGTGTAAGCAGACGAAGTTTGTCCCTATTGTTTAAAACAAAATATATGAATTTTGACTAAGAGTATAACCAGGGATGTGTATAACCCATCAAGTTATAATGCAAGATAGCATGTTCCGTTTGGGGTAACGTTACCACCGATATTGACTTTGTGATAGCTTGATGACATAAGCTAGTTGACTTTTTTCGCAATTTGACAGCTTCTTAAAATTTCGCTCTCAGCACGTATATGATTGTACGTACCTAATATTATATACATATTCTCTACGGTACTGAACCAGGTGGCCAACTGAAAAAAACGTTTTATTTCAATTTAAAGAAAACCCGCCGCGTCCCCCAATTCTCAGCGCAATACATACTATTGTTATGCCAAATATTTATCAGGGGGAGGGAACCGGAACAGCGAAAGGTATTTTCCCAAGTTTTTCGAACATGGCGGCGAACCTCCCTCGGGAAAGACTACCTGCACACCTGAGTTACGGTGTTACGAGGGACGGGAGGGTATTTTTTATTGAGTAAGTACACATGTGTCATATATATCATTTTCTTACCTGTGTGTTAATGATGGGCCGATTGGATAAGCGTCCATGTTTATTTGGTATGAGTTTATAGATCTCCTTTACCTGTGTTGACAGTGACCGACTTCAGACGACGTCTTGGTTGCATCCCTTGAGTGGCGTGCCGATACAAACAGGTCACAAGCAGGTGCAAGGTAGGTTAATTTTCTGTACAGGTGCATACCTGTTGTTTTTTTTAAAGAAATTTTTGCGTCTAAAATATTATAAACAATGGCGTCGATGACTTTGTTATGAGAGGTGACCCGAAAAGCAATCACGAACCTGAACTTCACCTGTGTCGGGAGACAGGTGAATTTGAATAAAAAACGAATAACACTTCTCAGGAATAATCATACGCGAACTGATTTCTGCATATGGTTTACATGCATTGAAAAAACCCCGAGAAAACAACCCTCCCGATGTTATACTGGTATTTATCTGTTTACCTGTCAATGAAAACACAGGTCAGCTGTATATGGTCTCGGCTAACTGACTATTTGTCTATACCGTATGTAACAAACATTTTAGGTCAAGTTTATATGCATAATTTTTGCATGTGTACAGAGTAATAAAACCTGTTTTGTACCTTAGTGCAGAATAGATGTTGTCTCGCTTTGACAGTTGTGTCACATGGATAATTTTTGTAGCTCTGTTCAAATAGCAAGCATAATGTCAGTTTCTTGGTAAAAAATGATAACATGAAATGAGACGTGTAAATTCAATTATTCTGAATCCATTATAAATTTTATCTGATTATTAATCAGGAATTAATGAAATATTCACAAGTTCCAGGTTATTCAATTGACAGTAAGTATTGATGTGATCAAGAGTTCTCCTAACTTTGACAAGGAAAAAAAATTGGAAATGTGTGGTATAACCTGGGACACAATAACTAGTTAGCAATGTCAGACTCGGTCATTGGCTGGATGATGGGAACCATTGTGCTTGTTACATTGGGTGGCAGCATCATATGGCCCTGGGGTACCTTGTTCCCTCTGGCTATTCCGTCTTTGCGTATTGCAGAGTTATCTTCTCTTGGGAGCCGGTAGTGATTGTTACGTCTCTTGTTTGTGAGAGTAACGGCATCAATTTTTGAGAAAACAACGTAATTTTCTCACACAGCCCAATGACGTAACAATCAATGCCTGTTCCGAAGAGAAGATAACTCTGCAGATATCTCTGCGCTATCTTCTCTTGGGAACAGGCATTGATTGTTACGTCATTGGGCTGTGTGAGAAAATTACGGCGTTTTCTCAAAAGTTGATGACGTGACTCTCACAAACAAGTGACGTAACCATCCCTACCTGCTCCCAAGAGAAGATACCTCTGCAATACGCAAAGACGGAATAGGGAAGGTGCAGGCTCAGGACCCAACAGAATTCCCCAGGCCAAGGCTCCGGATAAAACTTCTCTCACAGGGAATAGTGTAATGGCTGAAGATTGGGAAATACATGTACAACCCAATGAAAAACTAGCTTTTCCAGCAATCAGTATAACCTAGGGTCATGTTCACTTTTTAGCAATGCCGAGTGTGGTCAGTGTCAGGATGGGTGAACCTTACAATACCCTTTCGTGATAAGTGGTTGCATCTCTGGCTCCCAGGGTTTTTACCAGCTATTTTGGGGGAAAGCCCCTGGGCAGGAATTGGGAAAATATCATCAGCATTTGGAAAAAAATAGGAAATTCCACCAGTGTCCCCACATGTTCATGTATGGGAAAAAATAAAACCTACAATGTGATTTGCAAAAAGTTTTTCTCTAGCTGTTTCTTACAGTAAAATGTATAGCAATTAAATGAACACATCTATTTTCAGTGTTTTTGTTTATTCATATTCAATTTTTTTGTATTTTTGTATTTTGAATGTTCCTTCATGGACGGTAATACTTTGAACGTTGCACATATAATGACTGGAAACTTGTATAAACATTCCTTTTAATCCAGTTGGGGAAAATAAAGACTGAAATTGGGAAAATACAGTGTCATTTTTCAATTGGGAATGGGTCCCTGTACCAGACCCTATAAACACCTGGCAAAAACCCTGGCTCCATACCTTTTAGTTGTAAAATACAACTACATGTAGTTACATTAGCCTCATTACCCTCTATTCGACAGGTGCTTGCTTCATTGGCCTAACACCTCACTTTAGTAAATGCTTGCTTAATTGGCCTCGTAGCTTTTACTTTTAGTTGTAAAATACTTGCTTCATTGACCCTATATCCTATACTGGACAAACATTTCTGCATCCTACTGTTCTAATTTTTACTTGCTTCATTGACCTCATTACCTAAAGTGTTATATCTTGCTTCATTGACCTTGTACTTTATAGTGACCATGGCCAATGCTTGTTTTATTGGTGTCATGCACTTAAATGTACTAAAGTTAGTTCATTGACCTATACAGATGTCTTATAGCTGTCAAATATTTGTTTCATTGGCATTATACCTTTCAGTGAACAAATACTGTTTCTACTGCTAGATTCATAGCTCTCATAGGCTGTAGTGGTAAATGTTTGCTTCATTGACCTAACCCTACAGATACGAGACCAGGAGTTATTGATGATGTCATCCTATGTAATAGGTGTCTGTTATCTGGCATCTTTGAGAAGTTAAGGGGCCAGAGGCTTTTAACATACAATTAGTCTAGAGGTCTACAATAACAAATTTCCCAGAATATTGAAATAGAAACGGTCGCTTGAAACTCTGTCCTGCTGTTATTGAAATTTCTTCAGATTGTTAGTCCAGATTTACTCTGTTCCATACATGTGTTACTATATTATGTACCGTTATTGTTCAAATTTCCAATAATTAATTGCATAAGGAAAGTCTTTATACCTGTATACATTATTCATATTGACCTCTGGTTAGGAGTATTTCCACAAGCCCCATCCTATATTTTTTATGAGCTTCAGTTATCATTATAGAGCATATACTAAATAAATCCAACTAAAACAGTGTTATAGCTTCAGTACAACCATGCAGGCAGGCGGGCACCCATTAGTTTCCGCTCAATCACTTGAGTAATTTTGAATGGATTCATTTCAAACTTGGTAGGAAGGTTCATTGCCATGAAACCTCGGACAACTTCGATAACCAAAATTATTTGCCGGTTATTAATGCAGTTATGGCCCTTTGTAGAATTGACGCTTATCTCTCCAAAATTTATGCACTTATGGCCCTTTGTGGCAAACTGCTCATTCGACATTTGACAGGCGTATCATATGTACCGCTTCGCTGAACTCTTGTTTAACTTTTGTGAAAGTTTAACCTAAATTTTTGGTGGTGCAAGTTTGTTTAATTTGTATCATAAACAGCATAGCACAAATAGGAGTCATCAGTATCTAATAGTTCATATCTTAAACCTTCAGATCAACATAAGTCGACTCAAGATTTTGGTTAATTTGATACATAAAGTCATCATATCAGGATCTGTATACGCCATGAAATTGCCTAACTGTTAGAACGTTTGATTTGAACAACCAAACGGTTTTACCGATGCCACAATTACCAAAAAAAAAAGAATAGTTGAATTTATCAATGGTCAACAACCTGTTGCCACTGTCATAGATGATAGTGACAAAATGTCTGTTGATCATAAATACAAGTTCACATTCATAGATCCAAATATATAGACAATTCCACATGTGCAGCAATTCAAAATAACCAGGCTAAGTTAAAATTTTGAAATAAACAGGTGTATTGCATGAATATTTTAAAATTGGTATAGCTGACATAATTGAGAGCACAGAGTGTTGGACTTCTGGTGAAGGTTAACATGTATGGTCTTAATATCATATATATGATATACACTACCATGTCCAGGCTGGCTAGACAGAATTAGGACCTGCCATGTCTGGACAGCTTAACCATCTGTGACTCTACAAGCTACAAATAAGCACATTTTGTTAGGGTAATCTAACAAGGCTGAAACAAAGCCAGGCTACATTATAGGGAGAATGTACTACATGTACACTGTCTGTTTGGAAAGAGAATTATTATAATGCCTATGATGATTATCTCACAGACAAGAAATATCTACCATGAAGGTTGTGGATAGGGAGGTTTTATGCTTAGTTAACTGGGAGGGCAATCTGGTTCATGTCGATGGTACTGTTTACAGCTAATCATCTCTGTAACATGGCCACACCTATTGTCTGGCGAGGGTCTCGACACATTCGAAACTGGACCACTCGCTTATCATTCAATGAACAAAATCCCATTGCCAGGCCGTGAATCCACAAATGTTTCCTTATCTATTGTGTCTATTCCTTTTCTACTCTGCAACTGTAAGACCTTATTGTGTTGATGGGCCATTAGACTGAAGACTTGATCATTAAAATCTTGCAAAGACATAGAAAAAGATTTGAACAAGGTTGTTTGGAAATGTAAAATTATCTCCATGTAAGTGTTTCGTATATATAGGATCTTACATGAATTTCCATTTTATATGTGATTTATGAAACAAGCCTTATTTTTTTTCAATTTAGCAAGCCTCTCAGGGCGAGCTAAAATGAAAATTTGTGACGAGTTTCATAAATCTCATATGAAATGGAAACTCATGTAATCGAAATGAAAACGAGTGTATGATCCTTTTTATCACATAATCAAGATTTGTGGCATTAATTCGTGTAAAACGAGAATTTTCATGTAACCTTGAAATGTAAAAAGTCGCCATTTTGACTCCAGTGCGTAACTCTGTGGCGTCATGTACTTCTCCTAGGCGTATGATGTCACTATTGAAACAGTTGAATTTTACAATCCAATCACAGGGCTGATAGGTCATATTACATAGGTTAATACGCAAAGAAATATGACATGGGTATATTCACTGGATAACACAGTACACTATGTACATGTGATAAAAGGATATATAACAATGATCAATTGGTTGATAAAATTGAGGTGAATCAGCTGTGTTTTTACCCTTGATCAGATGTAAGTCCAAAGACCCATTTAATAATGTATTTGAGGTACTCAGAGTACTTTCTGATTCTTTTACTGACTCGATGATTTCTTATACTGACTCAGCTGTATATGTAAACTTTATTTAGTTTTGAATACCCAGAGAAAACTCACGTGGTAGGGCAGGTGAACCCATACCATTTCACTTCTGACCGGGGAATCAAACCCCAGCCGCCTTGGTGAAAGGCAAGTGTGAT